ATCCCACAAAACTGTTTTTTTTCTAGTACCCGCCGTGAAAGCCTTAAATTTTTTAGTTTTTTTTTTTTTTTTTTTACTTCTGCTGTGATATTGGGAGAGTCCAGACGGGAGAGATGTGCAGGCTGGGTTGATTGATCGGATGATCTATCAGAGGCATGTGGACAGATTCCTTGTATGTACTACGTAGTTGGTTGAAGCACTATGCTACAAGCAGCAAGGTGGCGGGTTTGATTCCCAGTGAGGCTATCGGATTTTTCAGTTGATCTAATCCTTCTAGTCGCACTATGGCCCTGGGGTCGACTCAGTCTCTAACAGAAATGACAACCAGGAATCCTCCCGGGGCTAAAGGGCAGCCGGCGCGTAAGCTGACAAACTTACCACCATCTGTGAGCTGATTGTCTAAAGAAAATGTGGGAGCCTCGACGTCTGACAACCCTATGGGCCCTCACGGTCTGTTGCAGGGATAACTTTACCTTTTACCTTTACTTTTGGGTCTTATTTATGACAATGAAGATATTATAATATATTTTCAAAGTAATGTGAGTTGGAATAGAGATGGTTACAAAAATTTGGACTTATGGGCAGCTGTAAGTTTCCGTACTATGAACGTGCCCCAAAGCGTCAGCGGAAGATATTGAAGGGGTTCTCACCCCTATACAATTCGTAGTTTAGAGGTAAGGGCGCATCTTTCGTGAGAGAAATACTGATGATTTAAAATAAGAGGCTGTAAGTGACCGGCCACGCTTCTTGCTGAAACTCTGTACTGACGTCAGTTCCGGCGTGCCCTATACAAATATGGCGACTGTAACATTCAGTTTATCGGACAAATTTAAAGAATTCGGAATATGTACTTGTGGAAGTTTTGAACAGAAATTTATTGCTAAATAACATGATTATTAATTTATAAGCGTGATTCTTGTTAGTCAAATTACATAGATTTATATTTTCAAGGAAAGTAGCCGACATGAAACATGTTTCTACATCTTCTTGTTTATTCACAATGTGTTCGCGATGTTTTCGTTATCGTTAACTAATATGGCCGCAGGAAAGGTTTTGTTCGTGGATGCAAAGACCGCTATTTAATCCTAAAGCAGTCAAACAATGGTTCTAGTATTGTTATTGTGTCCGATAAATGAAACAATGAAGGTCCTATGTTACATTCAGCGCTTTCAAGCAACAATGAATATCATTCTGTAAACATTTTCTTGATGTGACAACGATGCTGTTTGCACAAAACACGTTTTCGTAATAATGAGTGGGAGACACGAAGGTTATGTTGACCATCGCGTACTTCCCGAGTGGCCTAATGAATGTTATTTATTCGCATCATTAGACAATCTGTGACTTCATGCATTGATACATGTTCGTGTTCTGGCGGATATAATAGCAAGTAATTGACGCTTGGGGCGCTGATGTTGCGTTTACCGCTCTGTGCGCAACAGACAGAGTTCGAGAGAGATGTGAGACAGTAGATCCATGGCGCCACTTTCCGTTGTCTTAGCATAGTGTAACATGATCAGTGTTTAGGCGCAGTTTATGCAATGCGATATACGTATAACTAATCATTAATTCATTGAATGTCCGAGGGATTCGACAGTCCCGAATTGTCCCTAGGGAATCACAAGCGAATTCAACCAGATCAGTGATTCATAAAACAAAAACAAAACTCCGTGGCCTGTAATCCGCAAGAGAACTATACCGACCGAGCGGCCGTCGCTTGTCGACGAAGTTAGTGCCAACTTTAGCGGATAGAGGGTGTCGCGCGGTCAGCGCAACGGATATCCACGGTCGATAATCTCGATTTTCTGGACCGGAGCCGCTATTTCCTTGAACTAGCTCATGAATTGTCCTCACGAGGGTGAGTGGACCCCGTTCCAGACCCACTACTTCTCAGAAATAATCTGGTAGCCCCGGGAATCGAATCCGGGACCTCTGGATCTGTGGCCTGGAACTCTGACCACTATACCACATAGGGGGGCTCAGTGATCCATAATAATTCAAATTTGTCGTGCTGGTATTCAGTTTAGGTCAAGATTGTTCAGCTGGCGACCCGGGAGTGTATCGTCCTTGAAAATATGTGTTAATGTATATATTGTCCTCGGAGGGGGTTTAGAGGTTAGAATCTCGTAAAAAGAAAAAATGTATATATACTAAATGTACCCTGTAAATTTTAGTTGATTAGACCAGTAAAATGTATTGTTTTAGTAACTGCGCGAAGATTCACGAATTTATTGTAAAGAGAGTTTCAACAGTATTTGCTTATCATGCGTCTGACATCTAGGGGCGGCTGTGTGCACTTCACCGTGTAGTAGGAGAAGCTTCGACGGAGCTGTAACGGTTGGTGGTGGACGAGATTGTCGAATCGGTTTACTTACTTTTACTTGGGCCGCACCATAGCTCAAGCGGTTAGTTGCTGGTGGTCGCTGGCTTCCCATCGCGGCGGCCCGGGTTCGATCCCGTGTCTGGTCAAGTGGGATTTGTGATGGACAAAGTGGCGCTGGGGCGGCTTTTCTCCGAGTACTTCGGTTTCCCCTGCCAATCTTCATCCCACCAATTGCTCCACAATCACCCTCACCTATCATCTGGGGCTGGTACAATAGGCCAGAAGTGGCCGCAGTACAAGGGACTTAGTCCCACCCCACTAGCAATAAAAAAAATTACTTATGGAGTTGAGCCCTTCTTGAGAAGCCGCCAATTCTGCAGCTGCTCAAGAATTCCCCAGCATTTTATGGAACCCGAAGGTTCAATACCGTGTGCACAAGAGTTCTCCACTGGTCCCTATTCTGAGCCAGATCAATTCAATCCATCCCATCCTATCTCTCTAAGAACTATTTTAATTAAGATCTAAAAGTTCAGTCCGGGGCTAGCTCTATCCACTGGACCCAACTGAGTAGGTTTTACCTGAGGACGGGGCAGAATCCAATCTTCAAAATGTTATGGATAATGCCCAAAAGCATAATACTTGTATCCATTTTAATATTGTCCACAAACCCACGCCTTTATCTTTCCTTCTGGCTTTCCCACCAATATCCTATATGCATTCCTCGTATCCCCCATTCGTGCTACATGCCCTGCCCACATCATCCTCCTTTGGTCGAACCGGTTGCATATCGAAAGTCGATACGTGATTATTTGTGCCTTGTTGTGAGGCGGAAATCCAAATAGGAGTGATAATAGAGAAATTCACCTCGTATGAACCTCCATTTCTATGTGCTGGGTTTAATGGCGGCCATTTGTAAATGAGGCAAAGTATCATTGGTTTTTATGAAAGTGCAGAATTTCTTCACTGACCGATGAACTGTTGGGTTTTAAAGGATTTATTTCCATTGAGCTTATTATTTACTAATCAACAAATTGCCTCTTTCGTAAGTACTAAATTTTACTGGAGTATAACCGTGACCCCCTAGCTTGAAGAAGGAGTAGCCGAGCTGTCCTGTCGTACAAAATAAAGCTCTCCAGCAATTTGTTGTGCTCACATTATTGACCGCAAATCAAGCTGAAATGTACAGAACTTTCATTATCATTTCTTTTTTGAAGTTCATATTTCAATATGGGGGACTGACGAAGACTTACATCCAAAACAATACCCACAAACAAACACAACACTAATAAATAAAATTAGATTTTCGTTGGATATTACTATTATCCACTCCAAAAATTGACCTCTTTTACCAGGCACACCTGGCCTATGGTGAGACAGGTCAAGTTTGAGTTGACCGATGAGGTTAATCTCGGTCTTTTTTACTTGTCACTATCTCATTTCAATCAATAGCTTCTTCTTCCATAAACGAGATATTATAATATAGAGTTCTGTAGGGTGTGAATGTATTTAATATCTCTTTAATAATGAACGAGTTTTAATGGAATAAAATTAGATACATTCATACATCTCATTCATTTCATAAACATTTAAATGTTTATATTATTAATTCAACAAAAGTAACGGCAATTCTTACTTTGTGACGTCCTGTCACCTAGCGTCGATTTTTAAGATAGAATACTACTTAGTTCAAATAGCTGCTGACAGATGGCAGGATATGACATACACTGCAGTTGGATCGATCGGACGAAGCCTTCGCGCTATTGTCAGTATTCACGTCATGCGGGCTATCAGTAAGCAGGATCGCTCTCTACACGCAAGCCAACACGAGGCATCCTGAGGACATTAAATGAACTNATTTTTTTTCAATCTACCTAATCCATCCAGCCGCACTATGGCCCTGGGGTCGACTCAGCCTCTAACAGAAATTAGTACCAGGAATCTTCTTGAGGGTAAAGGGAGGCTGGCGTGTAAGGCTGACAACCTCACCGCCATCTGTGAACCGATTGTGTAGAGAAAATGTGGGAGTCTCGACGTCTCACAACCCTATGAATCTCCACGGCCTGTTACAGGGACAGCTTTACTGTTTACAACTGTTGTAATTAAACGGTGTATGTAAATTAAAACGAAATTCTGACAGACAACCGAACTGTAGCAACTTGACTTCAAGAATCTAAGAGGTTGCTAGAAATTGGTGTTTTAAAAAAAGGTAAACTTTCCTGTATACTAGATACCAGCAGTTGCTCATATCAGTGTTGCCAACTTGAACTGGCAAGTTTCTTGTGGGATAATTTCTTTGGTATGAAGCAGTAATACTCAGCGGTTCGCTGCAGCGTCCGTTTATTGTTCCGTTACAGCTGTCACCACAGCAACATAGCACCCATCAATTATAATATTACAATAATACAATAATAACAATACGGGTACAGTAAAATGAGTAACATTTATTATCCTTAAAACTAATGCAATATCACAACAGGTTTACAAGTACAGAGAACGTTCTGACCTGAAATAATTATTGTCCAAAGTTTTGAGTCTTTGCCAGCAGTGAGAATGAACCTGCATATGAAACAGCAATGAGACAACGCCACTCCACGACAGCAAGCCAACATCTTCATATTATTATGAAAAGGTTTATAACAGAACGTAAAGTAAAGTAAGGTTGTCCTTGTGCTTAACTAATTAAGCACTACGCTATGAAGGCGTAGGGGGAGTGGCTGTATAGCTCCAGCACTAACTGGAGATGAATGGTCAGCTTCACTCCCCGGCCGCTTTACCCCCGGGGAAATAAGCCACCGTACCCATTGGATAGGAGGTTGGGTAGACCCCAGATTCGGTCTTGACGACGTGGAGAAGAGGAAATTCTTGACCCTACCGGGACTCGAAATCAAAGCCCTCGGTCGCGCAGCCCATAGCCAGTCGCTACCCAGACTACGCTATTCCGGCTCATAATAGAACGTATTTTCTTAAATTCTATCTTATTTAATTAATATAATACAGTAAAATGTCTATTTGCCGCTATACACTGGCCTTGAGCGGCAAATGTCGTTTTGTTACGTACGAAAGTTACAAGGAACTGGCTATCGTCATTTTAATGACAACATTCAATTGTTTGCAAGTTGTGAAGGAGGCCATTTTGTTATTAACACTGAATGAAATGGAGGAGTGAGACAATGCATAAACAATAAATTATATTGATAAGAAATGCAACTGGATTATGAGTAAAATATTAATAATTTATGAGTAAATTTAAGAAATGAAACATCAAATATTTCAGTACATAATTACTCGAAATGTTTACGCATACACACATACACTAAAACACTTTCATATCCAGAATACACACGTCACTGAAAAAGGAGAGAAGGAATCTGAGAAGATGAGTGAGGAAGAGAGAGTTAAGAAGAATAGGACAAGAGAACAGAGAGATAAAGACAGTGATGGAAGAGAGTTTACAAAAAATAAAACGATGGGACAGGGAAAGACAAAAGACGAAGAAGAGAACATCAAAAAGAATAGGAATAGGGAAGTGGAGAGAGAACTGAGAAGGAAGAGGAAGAATTAATAATATGGTCTATATTAAAAATCGGTTAATATAGGAGAGAGAAATTGAAAAGGAAGAAGGAAGCAGGTGGGGAAAGGAAATAATGAAAAGAGAATAATACGTGAAGAATAATTAGGAGATCGGAGAAAGAGATTAATAAAATAATTAAAGACGAGGAAGAAAAAGGAGGTTGAGAGGTGTAAGGGAGAGACTCTGAAGTAAGGGAAGAAGATAAGAAAATTATTTGGGTCCGAGAGTGTTACATACAAGACAAATACAAGTACAAATCCTCGACGTTCAAATAATAATTATAACCTAAATATCATACGGTACTAAGGAAATACAAGGTGGCCTAGTTCCACGGCGGCCGGTGCACCGTTGGCCGCGAAGCGCATATGAATTTTGCCGAAGAATCAGCATGCCTGATCGTTGATAACGTACGGAAGTAGTTACAATTCACAGATCACAGGAGGTGTTGAAAATACTCTCCTCTCTACACGTAGGTATTTTTCGCAATTAACTGTTTCGTTAAAAAAACACAGGCGCAACAATCCGTCCTGCACTAAGAACACACCTGACACAGACTTTAAATGGACGGCTTAAGCAATTGTGTTGTCATTCTTGCACTAGATTTTGACATTCCAATTTCTTGAGCTAGACGTTTCAGTGATTTTCTAGGTGAATATTGAAGTCATGTAACCTCTCCTCAGTAAGAACTCAACGCTTATGTATGTTCTTGTTTCTTGTCTATTTAGAGCCCCGTTGTTCTAAGTTTATTCAGCAAATTGTGAATTGTTGTCTGTTGGGAACTCTTTCGTCACGAAATTTACGTCGAAATTTTCGCAGACACATTCCAGCAGATCCGTGTTTCACGTAGGCGTAATACAAAAACACAAGTTGCTCTGAAATAAGAGAACCACGTCGTGCCATACTGCTGACTCACTCTTAACTGGGAACAAATGGCTCATAGCGCTGGTAACTACTGCCTACTGCTGATAAACCTTAAACAAACTCCCATACTGCTCGCCGTGTAACATAATACCGTCAAGCGGTCCATAAGTTAATTACTTCTCTTTTTATTCCAAATGTTTTCGATCATCAAGCTTACTTACGTATCGGCAAATTTCGCATGCACCTCGCGGCAAGCGGCGCACCGGCCGCCGTGAAACGCAGAGCAGAGGACCCGGTCAACACACTAAAAGTCCTCCCTTTGAGACGGATTACGGCTCCATTTTCTTTATTATGAGTATTACAGATGGGCCCACAAGAACATTTTTGTCCCTGTGGCAGTGTGGAGTATTGTTGCACCGTGTTTCCCACTCCGTATCAACCTATGTAAAACGTTCCGTTACATACACATGTACATATCTGTCACATACTTTATACATATAGTACAATTACGAAAGGGTTCTTCTAATTGACAGAGTTATTGCTTGCGCGGTGTACAGGCCTTAATAGGAATCATAAATGCGAGATAATCTGATAATACAGCTTCTACATTTTGAATAACAGATAAATAAAGGGTTCCGAGTATATACATAAATTTATGTACAATGCAGTATATTGAAAATATCCAATATGGGCCTCTTTTTTATTTTTTCTATACATTTCTTAATATACTATACAGGGTGTGCCATTTGAAACGCAAACCTAACAATCACGCACAGTTCATGGATCCCATGTATTGGGATGTCAAAACTTTGGTCGTTACATTTGAGTCGATGTCACCTTGGTTGCTAGGCTGCTGTTGTCGCCACTTGCGCAGAAACGGTGCAGGTGGGATCAGGGCGTATTCACGAGAAAAACGTGTGTCTGTTCTCGAACATCACTTCGCATTGGAATTGTTTGCTGCTATTCGTGAAACATTCAGTAACTTGTACTTTGATACATGTCACCTGTAATTTTGTGTATACTGTTGTAATTAGGGTTCCGCTTGAAATGGTACACTCTGAAACGCTGCTTGAAGTTCACCAGACCACACGGCGTCATGTTTCAGAAGAGAGTAATCTTCATGAGAAATTGGACATTTTCACACTAGCGTTCGAGATGTCAACAAATGTCTGAAACCTTTTGATTAAAAGCCGATGATGTGTTTGAGGCCCTCTTCTGGGATGTGACGCCGTGTAATCTGGTATAAGTTCACCGACACAAAAAGCCCACTGCCTCCATCTTCAGGACTGATGAGTAGATTAACCAAGTGACAAGCAATAAGCGAGCGGAGCTGTGAACTGTCGGTGAACTTCTAGCAGGGTACACGGTGCCGCATTGCAGAAGACCTGGCGATTTCTGGGGGTCATGCCCCCCTGTCAGTCTTGAGATCTCTCACTGTGGAAGAGGGACGCTTTCCTGTGACGCGATTACCGCCTCTTCCGGCTGCTCTTTATGAGTTGCCTCCCACAGAGTCAGGTAGTCGACAACTTTCTTGTGCCCGAACGTTCTTGCCTCTGTTATGGGCAAGTTTCCCCATCTGGAGACATAAACACGCCTTATCATAATTAATTGTTTATATAACAGACAGGGCTGTAATCGAGCCAGGGCGCTGTCCTTGAACTTGCCATAAAGACACTAACGTGAAACATAAAGTTCTTATAATCTTTTTAATTTGTTTCATTCTGGTCCGTCACAATAACAATTACAAATTATAAATCACTCCGTCCAATGTGACCTGTAAGTTTTTTACTACATAAAAACTTAACACCCTTACATGTTTCGGTCTCTGTGGACCATCTTCAGAGGGCAAACATCACTACAAATAGGAAACCACTATCACATAATTTGTTTACACGCAAAGTACGTACACTTATATGTTACAACACACAGTACACAGAATAGAACATTTCACAAACACAGCAGTTTCCTGGGAATGTAAGTTTTAAAAAAATTGTATAAAATTCCTTGATGCTAATTAAAAGTTTTTTAGATTGTCAATAATTAAAATTCGTAAACCATGCAGGCTCGTGTTCGTCCTCCCATC